TTTTTTTTTTGTTCCCTCAACAAAGGTGCTATGCCTTTCAGTGTGCACAGATACATATAGACCATACCACATCAAGAATGAATAGTGCACAAAGGTTTGGTTACCTATGATATCGAAAAAAGAAAAATTAAAAATGACCAATGCCCAAGAGTTGAAATGCAAGTATCTATGTCATGGAAAGTTCTATCAGAATTACCCATCATGATTTCTGATTTATTCTTCATTCATTGTTTACAAAGGAAGTACTAAACTTTGTAACACTGAACATGGTAACACTGAACAACACAAACCAGGTGCTAACTTAAAGGCTTATCCAAAAAAAAATTGCTAACTTAAGGAGATTTATCCTAAAGTAGATTTAAGCACTTTACTCTAATTTACTATAGATTCATAATGTGTCACACACAAGCACATATAGAGGCAGGCAAGGAGGTTGGGTCCATGGGGCACACAGAGAGGATAGAATTTTTATATACAGTCATTACTCCAATTGCTGCACTAACACCAGCTTCTCCAAATATGAACTAAAGCAGTCACTCCAATATTGACCACCCTATTTACAAAAACAGGATGAACAATAAATTACACAGCAAAGTTGGACAGACAAACAAAACTGGATTAGTTAAGTGAATAGTATCAAGGAAAGCCGTGCCACTGGCCTGACCAATGAGCAAATGGCATTAGCCAAATAATTTTAGTTTGCTAGCAGTCATCAGCTGAGTAGAAAAGAGTTACATAGCAACCTAGACCATGGAGTTTTAAAGAGAAAGTTAAAGTTTTTCAACAAAGTTTTAGTTGCAAGTTCAAGAAGAACATGGAAACTTAAATGGAAAACTTACCACAAATCTAGCCACCTCTGCGGGATTGTGAACAGCTATACTTTTTGGAGTGATCTCAGTAAGAAGCAAAATAGCAACCTAGGATCATTCAGAAAAAATTCAATGATTATGATTTCTTTCTATCTTTTATGTTCACTTTTCATTTTTTTTTTTTAAAAGGCAAGCTTTTCCATTGCATGAAAATAAAATATCTACAATAATCACCCAGGCATACCTGGGTTTAACATATCACCTAATACTCAAAATTGCAATGGCAAAAAGTAAGAAATTCATTTTTTCCTTCTTTATTTAACAAAGGTGCTATGCCTTTCATTGTGCATAGATACTTATAGACCGGAAACAAATTCATTTAGGAGAAAAGGAAACAAAGAGTATAAGAAGATCCAAGATCATTTGTTGTTGCTCCGTAGGATAGCTACAGATTAATAATTTCATGAGTGAGTTGAAGAAAAAGCAGAGAAAGGGAAAAAAAAACAATGGTAAAGATGGAAAATCGCTTTTGAAGGAAATAAGCTAAGCCTGTCATGTACAATATACAAGACATTGTTTTGATTTTCTAGCAAAATATCAACTCCTTTACCAATAATATAAAGAGAGAAATATATGCAAATTAATCCACCGTATAAAGAATGATTGGTGCCCAAAGGTTTGGATACCCACAATATCAAAAAATAAAATAAAACAAACAAAATAAAGAATGACCAGCATGCAAGAGTTGAAATTCAAGTATCCATGTCATAGAAAGTCCTAGAGCCACCTAAAATACCAAATCTCGAACTCAAAGACCCTGTGGTCACAAAAGATCCAGCTCATTTACCATTACCACCTTCACATTGTCATAAGAGGTAGAGGGAAAAAGGAAAAAGAATGACAAATAACCACACCACCCACCTTTCGATTATTCTGCAGTCTGTTGGAGTTACCTAGCATGATTTCTTATTCATTCTTCTTTTATTGTTTACAAAGGAAGTACAAAACTTTGTAACAGTGAACTCTACAACTCAAGAGCTAACTTAAAGAGATTTATCCCGAAACAAATTTAAGCCTTTTACTCGAATTTACTACAAATTCACAATGAGTTACATACGAGCACGAATAGAGGGAGACAAGGAGGTTGGATATGTGGGGCACATAAAGAGGATAGAATTTTTATATACATACAGTCATCACTCCAGTTGCTGCACTAACAGCAGCTTCTCCAAATATTGCTGTTGCTGTGTCTATAACTAAAGCAGTTGCTCCAATATTGACCACCCTAGTGACAAAAATAGAATCTAAAAATAAATCATGCGCCGAAGTTAAACATAGACACACAGAACTGGACCAGTTACGTGATGATGAGAAAGACTAGTACGTAGTGCCAATAAGAATAGTGGTAAAAACTAGGTTACATCACTTTGAAATAGCATTCGAAATACACCATCTTCAAACTCTTTTCCAGCCAGCTTACAAACCTGACACAAATTTGCATCAAATCACCAATAAGACCAAAGTTTCCCAATGGCTTGGTGACATTTAAAAAAAGAAAAATCTTGTTCTTCCATGAGTTAATATGAACGACATGAACATATAAGAAACCAGCATCATCCTCCAAACCAAACAAGACAACAGTGATACTGCTGCATCAACTTCACAATCAAGATTTGAAATAGCAGATCAGATTAATCTTTGTTAAACTTAACCCAATATTTATCTAAACCATATAAGCAAATGCCATTGCACAACAACCACAAACTTCACATATTTATCTAAACCATAAAAGTTACTGAAACACTAACAATTAATAACCGTGAATGTTCTTCAACTTCATATATTTAAAGGAAACATGAGTTAGTTTGGGTAATGTGAAGTTGGCATTGACATTCATTCTCAAGGACAAATTATTGTTTGAAAGAAAGATGGTTTCCAGATTTTGAAGCGCCGAGAACATGTCAGCTTCTACTAAATCACTAAAATGATTTGATGATAAATCAAGATAACTAAGATTTACCAAATTAGCAATTGAGTTAGGAATTGACCCCTGGAGTTTATTGTTTGACAAATCTAGCTCTATGAGTGAGTTTTGTTGGAATTGTTTTATTTGACCTTGAAATTGGTTATGATTGAGATACAAGTACTCTAACAAAGGTAAAGTGAAAATCCAAGGTGGCAACATGCCGGAAAACTGATTATTGTGAAGGTAAAGCAAGGTAAGTTGGGTGAGGTTTGCAAGTGATGGTGGGATCTGTTCGCTAAGATTGTTAGAATTGAGGTCTAGCGTAGTAAGTTGCCTTAAGTTACATATGGAAGCTAGAATGGGATCAGAAAACTGATTATTGGAAAGGTCAAGAGAGGTAAGTTGGGTGATGTTTGCAAGTGATGATGGGATTTGTCCACTAAGAATGTTAGAATGGAGGTCTAGGCTAGTAAGTTGCCTTAAGTTACCTATGGAAGCCGGAATGGGACCAGAAAACTGATTATAGGAAAGGTCAAGAGAGGGAAGTTGGGTGAGGTTTGCAAGTGATGATGGGATTTGTCCGCTAAGAATGTTAGAATGGAGTTCTAGGCTAGTAAGTTGCCTTAAGTTACCTATGGACGCCGGAATGGGACCAGAAAACTGATTAATGGAAAGGTCAAGAGAGGTAAGTTGGGTGAGGTTTGCAAGTGATGATGGGATTTGTCCACTAAGATGGTTAGAAGAGAGGCCTAGGCTAGTAAGTTGCCTTAAGTTACCTATGGACGCCGGAATGGGACCAGAAAACTGAGTAATGGAAAGGTCAAGAGAGGTAAGTTGTGTTAAGTTACCTATGGAAGCTGGAATGGAACCTTCCAAGTTGCAGCTAAGACTCAGATACTATAATGACTTTAGATCTCCTATAGACTCTGGCAATCGCCTTCCACAATCCATGACAGATAAATACAAATCTTGGAGAGGACTGCTCCAATTGGAACTTGGAAGATCAATAGTGAGGTTTTGCCCTTCAAAAGATACACTTAAATGAAAAATCTTGAGATTTGGAAAGCGGAAAATACCGTTTGGAAAGTTTCCTTCTGACACACTGTCGGAAAGATCAAGAGTAGTCAATGAAGAAGAGAGATTCATGAAGAAACGAGGATTAACAGATGTCATGGTCACTCCACCAAGCACAAGTTCTCTCATCTCACTCAAGTTGTGAACAAGATTTCTGAAGGTAGTTGTTTCAAGGATCAAGCCAGAAGGAATGTAACAACTGGAGAGATTGAGAGAAACTAACTTGGGGAGGTGAGCAATTTCTGTTGGAACTTGGCCCGAAAATTGAGAAGAAGAGACATCAAGATGCTTTAGTCTAGTAAATTGACTGATTTCCGATGGAATCTTGGAAAGCCTAAAATCATTGAAGGAAAGATTGAGGCTCTGCAGGTTTCTGAGGAAGAAAAGAGTGCTGTTGGAAGGAAAGGTGCCATAAAGGAAACTGCAGCTGAGATTAAGGGCAATTACATGGCCTGTGACATTATCACAGCCAACCCCATCCCAGGAACAACAGTCTATACCTTCCTTCCATGACTCAATCTTAGAATAAAAAAGACGCTCACAATAATATGGTGCCAGATCAGAAGCAGTGTAATTGATGGAGAAGGAAGTCTTGAATTGCAGCAAAGCAAGAGCCTCCTCACGAGAGCAGAGATGTGTTGTTGAGAAGGAAGAAGCATGTATAGAGGATGAGAAGGCAGTTTTAAGACAGAGGAAGACAAAAAGGAGGCAGAGTGGTGCAGAGAGCTTTGTGAAGATCCTCATATCTTTGTTTGGCGCAATAGAGTACTCTAGAAGAGTATATATAGAGTGTTTCAAATTAATGTATGCTAATAATTGAATATATTTTATCAAAACAAAAATAAATGAATATAGACGGTAAGATTGACGCATGGTGGATGTCATTTTTCAATCTATTTTTAAATTTTTTATTTATTATTTTGAAATTTAAATAAATGACTTAATCTAAAAGATTTTTTTGCTTTATAAGATTCAAATTAAATTTAAATAAGGTTTTTTAATTTTGTTTATCTTATTAATAAAGCAATAATTTTATTTTGAATTCATTTAGTTTTCAATTTTTA